TCTACCAAGCAAACTCAAAAGCGTAGATGACCGGGGAGCTTTTCAGCAGATGGCTATCGTCGTGGAATGATTATTTGGTAGGCGAAAATCGCAAGGTGTGCCTGTTCGTATACAATTGTTCATCGTACCACTGCAGTACAACCTTCAGCAACATCGAGCTGCGTTTTTTGCCCCCGAACACTATGTCTCTACTGCAACCACTAGATCAAGGCGTTATACGCGCAATGAAAGTCGGCTATCGGAAGCGGCTATCGGAGGCTGCTGCGGAACCTTCGTGTCGGCAGGGAGCTTAAGATCGACTAGCTAGGAGCTATTTCTATGTTGAGTAGATCGTGGGCAGATGTCAAGAAAGAGACGATTCAGAACTGCTTTAGGCATGCCAGCTTCCGCATGCTTGGTGATGACACCCCAAGTTCTGACAGCACTGAAGACATCGGAAGTGTTTCTCCTAAAGTTTGGATTGAGCTGGCAGAGTTGCCGGGTGCTATCGACGGATCGACATTCGACAAGTTCGTCAGTGCGGACGATGATGTCCCCATCATGGGTCAATTACAAGATGAGGATTACATTGCAGACGTCGTGCCGACCACGAGCCAAAGTGACAGCAATATGGAAATCGATCACGGCCCATTGCCTACATTCTCCGAAGTGATTAGTGCACTTGCGTTGGTCCTTCGCTATTGCTTGAATGTGGAAGGTTGCGTCGTCAGCTGTTCCGACTCGTTGGACAACGTGGAGGCGTGCGTGCTGTCGCAGGCAGCGAAGTCATTTACACAGAAAAAAATCTGGGACTATTTTGTTCCACAGTAGGGCACGCAAGTAAGCCACCATATTAATAAAGTACTTTTCTTCTAGTTTGTTATGTGCCTTTGTGTCAAAACCTATACCGGGCCTATATCGAATTATGCCATATATCGAACTAATGAACGTTTTTTGGCGAGCTCGATATACCCAGGTTCGGACTGTAAAAAAACAAAGTTACGGCGCTCCGATACATCATCTACAATTGACGAACGCTCCATCATCGAGGCCCCATGCACTAACACCTGAAAACCATATACAGATGCTGCTATCCTACAAGACGGCGGAAGGATATCATTCCTGAGTACTACTACATACTTTTGTCAGCTGGCCACCAGCGTTATCTATCTACGGAAGCCACTCCTCTTGTGATGGAACTTCAAGCCATCCACGATGTAATCCAGGATGCTACCTCTAAGCTGTCCACAATAAAGCAGATTGATGTATACACTGATTCCTTAGGAGCTATCAAGGAGCTCAAGAAAGTACACAAGGCGATGCAGATCTGCGAGGCTGATTCATAAGCTGAAACATAATACGGCTACTTGCGTAAAAGTACGTTGGATTCAAGGCCATGCTGCGAACCCACACAACATTGCTGCTGACCAGCAGGCACACTGCCCTCCAGACATAGACCTTCCAGCCATTCCCCTTCCACCTCAGCCCCTAAACTTACTCCACACCCGTAAAAATGTTCTCCGGCAGGATACACGTGCGCTCATTCCACCGTGTGTCTGCTCTCTCCCCCCTCACCTTACTAGGGCGGAGGAAGTTGTGCTTAGGAGGCTTCGGGCAGGGGTGGCCCTTACACGGGCCGTTATATCGTCATGGAACTGGTCACATTTACGAGTTGGTGATAAGTGTCCGTATTGTCCCACTCCTGTGATTCAAGCAGATACATACCACCTTTTGTGGACATGTAAAGGGTTGCAGCCAGAACGCTCCCGTCAAATCGCTCAAGCCAGCCTTCACTACAGCGACACAGCCAGTTACAACCGCTGGATATATGTAAACAGATTCCGCAAGACACTATTTCACTTCATACACAACACCGGCCTAACAGCACTTATTTAACAAAAATATTATGCCTTAAAGGCAAGTCTTTGTCACAATAAAAAAAAAATAACTTGATGCGAAGCACTAAAACGTGACTTTATTTCAAAATAAGCCCTTCGTAAGCACAACAGTAACACTACGAAGTTTCTGGAACACTATTTCGTCAATCAAAGTGGACTTAATAGTTGCCTTTAGTGTTTATTTAAAGAAAGCACGGAACTCACTTTGCTTGCCACCGCATTTATAAAAAGACCACGCTGCTCACAGACGAATAAGCAATAATTGTGAAACTTGTTCGCACTAATTTTGTGTACACTTGTGCGTTCGTTTCATGCTGTTTTCTTTTAGTTTGAGCAGTGTGCTTTAAGTGTCGAGCTAGGACAGTTGGTTTTCCGCCCTTGTCCTGTGTATGCTCACTTCGTGCTTGCTTCTACTGGAGGTGCGTGTGGCAAGTTTGCTGCTGCTTGCCATTCTTCACGTGACTTTGCAATTTGTTGCTGTAGCATTCATCCATCGCCCTTGTGGTGAAGCAATGCACACTGAATGCTGAAGACGCTCATCACTTTCATGTCATACCGATTCCTAAATAGAAGGATAAGTTGCATTTTTTTTTTTTCAGACGGAGAAATTCTGTTTTCTATACATGTAAAAGACGCAACCAGACTCTCAACACATTTTATTCACTCGACTGCAGAAATGCAAATAAATTAATCTGATTCAGATAAAGTGATAACAATAATACATTTGTTTTACAAAAATGGATGTGTAAAAAAACTACTTATTATAATTTTCACTAGCAAAGCTCTGAATTTTGCTTGTAGGTTCACTACAGTGCTGAAAGCCAAGCCAATATTAATCAACTTGTCATCCTTCTTGCGCGCTGTCTTTCACACTGAATAAGCCCTTGTCAGTTTATATTCCTATTCTTCTGCAATTTTAATCATGTGAGCATCTGTTGTGTACTAGGCTGCTGCTGTGGTGCAGTGGTTACACTGCTTGCCAGTGTTGCGGAATGGGTGCCTCCATTTCATTACCATTTCATTCCGTGCAAGTAGAACTTGCCACGATGCCATACCTTTCGATTCCTCAGAACGAAAAGAAAAAAAAAACTTAGCCCATTCCCACTACAAAAATGGCCAGACAGTTCAATTTCATACTTGTAATTTTATAATATAGGAAAGGCATCATGATAGTTTTATTGAGTTGAGGATGCCTCATAAGAGCAATGTCATCATATGCAGTAAGAACTGCAAAAGTACGCAAAACATGTTACCAAGTTCGATAGATTGTAGCTTGGTGGCAACCATCCTACAAATTATCATTGGGGCAGTTCTCTCGCTATGGAGAAAACTAAGCTTTGGTTAATGGGGACCAAGGTTTTCTAGATCTGCTGGCATTAGTTGGAACTGTGCACTGCTTGGGCACCTTTTGCCTTTGCATCAAATACGGAATGCTGGGCTGCACTACGTGTCAGCACTCCCGCTTGTCAAGCAAGCATGCAAGCATGGGTAGGTTGAGAACTTTCTGTGTTTGCTTGTACACAGGTATGCAATGTCTTTGTTGTCGCAGAGATTATTTACGTGTGTAGGATGTGAGTAAAGCATTTCCCATTTTGTTGTGGAGGTACCAATAGGAACCGATGCGTCAGGATAATTTGTTTCTTCCTTCAGCATCTGCTGGGATAACGCATTCGTTTTTACACTAGCTTAAACTTTGGTTTTTCTTTCAGAAGTTGGCATGTAGAGAATGCGGTGTGTCCTACAACTTTAAAAAAACACGTACTCACGCCTACATGACTAATTTGAGCATGATATTACAGTAGTAGCAAAATACATTCCTCCTCAATGCACCCTTCGCTTGGCTGTGCAAACACGGGTATATGCCAAGTCTTAACATACGAGTGAAGAAATGATGCAAGAAAAAGTATAACGAGAATAATGAAATGATCCCACCACAAAGTAGTTGGAGTGCAGGTTGACCTGCTTTCAGCTCGACATTCAGGAATGCCTGATCTTTTAGGCTAGAGCAGCAGCGGTCGCTCGCAGCTTGCTGAGCTTAGAAGAGGCTACCCACCTTTATTTTATTTTGATCAGCTCAAACAAATGTTTCCACAGCGACAACATTTCCGACAATTGGTCACTAGTTCTTTGGCTATCACTATATTATATGAAAGGCTTAGGTGTCCTTGTGTGTCCTTGTGCTGCTATAAACGTTGGTGCATTATTGCAAATGCTGCAATTATGCTGCAGTAAAGCAAAAACAAAGAAGTGAAGGGTGGAGGAGACAGCAGGTGGCATGCCGCAGTCATATTTCAGCACAATGAAAACCAACAGCATAGAACCGCGGTTACGCAAAGAGTAGAGACAAACTTTGGAGCAAAACAAGCGATATAAGGACAGAATTTTAATAGGTGCTTTGCCTAAAAATACATATACTGTGCTTGTGATTAGCCAAGCCATTTAAAAAACACTGCTTCATTTTCAAATTTGAGGCACTGACTTACTGATGTTTGAAATTTAGAAAATAGTATGTAGATGAAAATGTGCTCTTCAGAAAACCACGTAATTTTATTCCCATTCTACTCCATGTAAAAGGCGCTAAATTTTATTCTTATTCCATTCTTCCAAGCGTCCATTCCAGTGCCAATCTGGGGACACGAAAGTGTTGAATGTTTCCGGAGTCATTACAATTCTGGAGTGGCAACTCCACAACACTGTTGCTTGCTACTCACCTGAAAGATCTCAGCTGTGGCAGTCACATTTTCATGGAGGCAGAATGGCAGAATGCTAGAGGACCTCGTACTTAGATTCAGCTGCATGCTAAAGAATCCCAGGTGATTGAAATTTCCGGTGCCCTTATCTTCGGCCTTCCCTCACAAGGGTGCCGTACCACTGGCATGTAGGAACTCAAGATTATTGTTATTATTTGTGGTACACCTCTCAGTACCTCCCCTGCGTAACCTCTATTGAGTGCAAATAAGATATTTGGCTAGTATATGTTGATGTTTGTTTAAAAAACTCATTCCTGTATGTTTATCAACGCTTTGAGAGGTTTTTACGTTGCACAAGCCTCATGCTGCACATTAATCATATGTAATGGCAGAGCGGTGTGAACGGCTATTTGTGGCTCTCTCTTCCAAACAGTGTCTGTGCTGGCATGCACGAGAATTCTTCGAGTTGCGCAAGAAGTTTGAAGATGAGTCCGAACGGAACCGAGCACACGAGAAGGAGGCTGCCAGGGTATGTGAATCTCGCTTGCTAAAAGCACTTCTTAATTGTCATGATTTTTTATTGCACAACCCTGAAAAGTGCATTTTATTTAGATTTTGAACAGATAGTTATTTGGATTTAACAAGATCGTTGGCTAATACTGTAGCTTTATTGTAATATGATTATGTTGCGGAAGTTTGATGCGATTTCAAACACGGTGTTATGCCTCGGATCATTGAGCTTGCACAGGTTTGGCGAATGGGATGTTTGTGCAATGTCATGTACGCCGAAATGATAGGACAGTAATGAGCGCTTTGCAAGCAACCCATAGAACAGCATAGAGGGGAGGCTGCTGTGGATCGCTTTGAGAACTGTACATGTGCATAGCATGGGCCCCGTCAAGATTCAGCTGAAGTTGTGAAGATGTGTACAGTGGACTCTCATAAAATGAAACCTGAAGGGACGAGGAAAATATGTTTCATTGAACAGGAGGTCTAGTTTACTGAGAGATGAACAGCTGCAGAATACAAGCGTGAAACCTATCAGCTGTTCCACTAAAGCAGCAGTTGTGTTTTATTAGAGAGTTTCATTCACTGAGAGTCTACTGTAGTTTGTGTAGAAGTTTGCTTATGTTTTAGCTCTTTTGCTCAGTGTAACAAGGTATTTGGACTTATTAAAGGAGTACTTTGATTTCTCTGCATTACCTGTACCTGCTCATGAGTGGCTGTGCACAAACCCTTATGCAGAACAGCCCACTTCAAGCCGATATCGTATATCAACCATCCAGCTGCAGGGTTATTGAACAGTCACATTCGGTTACCCTCATGGAATGTGAATTAATGTTCTCAAGCCAGCTAGGCAACTATTAGGTTGTAAAAAAGGACTTGCAATGTTTCTATAAAATAACGATCTAGAAAAAAAAGGCAACCTTAAAAGGACCAGTAAGTAAGCTTTGCGGTATCCAGTTTTTTGTGAAGCATAAATCTTACACACCAGAGTTTCCAGTCCTTCTACAGTGAAAGACTGCTCTACATGATAGCACAGACCACAATCTGCACATTCCATAAGTAGGTCACTTGGGTCACTTTTGGGTCACTTTTGTGTCTCATGGCAATCTGACTTGAATTTATGGCATTGCTTACTTGCATTTCTATACATGACAGTTTACTAGCTACTTTCCTGTAAAGAATGCTATGTCATGCTGATAAGGCAAAAGTCATTTTTGGCTGGGAAGTTGCAAGTAAACGATACGAGATAGATGACAGTGGTTGATGTGTGACAGACACCCTGAATACACACTTCTCTTTCAGAGTGCATAGAAAGTAGTCGTACCTAAATACCTTTATTATAACAAGGACTGCAGATTTACACACTTCACATGGTGCACTGAATAAAAGACAGACTACTTATAGGCAATTGCGATTACATGATCAGCATCCAGCATTAGTTATAACGTTTCACTGAGAAAGTCGCATGCCATACTGCTTTTTGTGACTTTCTTGGCTGATCTTAAATTACAATTCAGGCTTGAATTGTTTACAGCATTCTTGATACTAATATTTTAGTCTTGTCATGCCCATGAGCTTTTCGTAGTACTGTTAGAACTTCCCAACTAGTGAGTACAGTGCATATTGTATGACCTTGGAGCACTATCTCTATTATCTTGGAGCAAGCAGGCAGGAGCTTGCTCCCCTGCTTTATGTCATGGGGCACTCACTCAAGATAGTATCGCTAAGATAACTTAAAAATACAGACCAGTCACCAATAGCAAGTTGATTTCTTGTTTTCCAACCATACGTGTGTATAATCTCAGATGACCGAATGTGTGATTATAGTGAGAACCTCAGTGATACAAATATCACGGGGTTACGAAAAATCTTCGTATTATTCAAAATTTGTATTACCAAAAAACATGGAAAAGCAGTATATTTTTATTTATTGCTTCTAAGTGCCGCAACAAGATCATAAATAGCTCCGAAAGGCTAGCCAAGTTTCTAGATGTCAATGATAATACCTGTAGTCGTAATAATACAGGGCAACACAGAACCGGGTGGGTTACGACCCACGACTGCTAGTAGCCCCTTTCTTATTTTAGTATGCTTTTCCACATGGCGATAGAGTATTGCAGTGAACATGACCTAATATGCACCTTGCACACGAAAGGTGAAGGACAGACAATTGCAGAACCACTGCCCTTTGTTGTTATTTTCTTATCGTGAGAGGTAGGCTCGCGGGTTTTTTGCTCAGGTTTGCTCGGCATTTGAGTCTCTACAATGCAAATTGGAGAGTTTGCGGATGTGTGCATCTCCAATAATCGTGCATGTTGACGTTGCAAGGTCAAGGTTCTTCGCCATGACCTTCCACTCTCAACCCTCGTGTACTTTTCATAGGATGCCTGATTGTGAGGACATGACTTGCATTGGCATGGCAGGCATGTGTAAAAACAGTGCATTGGCGTGGCAGGCATGTGTAAAAACAGTGCTACATCTCTGTCTCAAGAACAGCAGCTTGCGTTAGGGTGGGAAAATAGATATGGCGACACCGCCATCTGCCGCAAAATTTGCCGTGTCTTCCGTGGCAGTGAGCGACGTAAATGTTCAAACCTGCATGGCACCATGCTTTCGTATCAGATGTTGGAGGATGAGAAACGGTTCGCAGCAACTTTACTCCATTATATTGCAAGCTAATGGGCCTTGGCCGTGACTACAGGAATATCCATATCATCCCAAAATTCGTACGAGCCATGGTTGTACACCGAGGTTATTCAGTAAATATTTTGAACATGGTCATTTTTGCTTTTACTAAATAGTGTTATATTATATATATTTTGTTTAGTTCTGCTACGTTGATCTCTATTTTCCCACTGTTTTCACCTTAGTTACTAGTAATTTGTTCTACATTTTTATACATGTATTGACAAGAGGTCCCGCTGACAGTTTTGACTTTATTTGGGACCTCTTTTAATAATATTGCTATGTAGCTGACGTATCAGCAGTCAGAAGACGACAACGAGGAAGTGGTCTGTTGGTTGTGCGTGCTGCTTCCATCTTAGCCGACGCCATACACATCAGTTTAAATATAGATTTTAAATAGACACGCCTCGTGTCATTTTCACGTAACATCTTTTTGGTGGACCTGCTGGGTACTTCCCCGTCTTCATCACGAAGCTCCGCAACGGCCGCATCATCATAGGTCCAACCATGTCACAGGTTGAACAATCATCGTCTTCGCCACCTGCCCCTACCGTGACTTCTACCTACGTCGTTCTACCTCCTGCTCGTGATCCCGGTGTATTTTCCGGTCAGGATGGCGTTGACGTCGACAAATGGATCAACCGGTACGAACGGGTCAGCGCAAGCTATAGGTGGGACCCGACTCTTATGCTTGCCAATGTGCTTTTTTACCTCGATGGCCCACCGCGAGTGTGGTTCGAGACACACGAGGCGGAGATCACGAGCTGGGACTCCTTTAAAGAGAAGATCCGCGACCTTTTTGGCGACACTGTTGGGCGGCAGATCACAGCGCGGAATCAACTGGCGGCTCGTGCACAGACGTCGACGGAGTCGTACGTCGCGTACATTCACGACGTCATCGCCCTATGCCGCCAGATTGACGAGCACATGAGTGAGTCGGAGAAAGTGGCTCATGTGCTGAAAGGCATAGCAGACGACGCATTTAATCTTCTAGTTTACAACAACGTTGCCACTGTCGACGCCATCATTAAAGAGTGCCGGCGGTTCGAAGAAGCCAAGAGCCGCCGTATTACTCAGCGATTCACCCGGCTGCCCATCTCTGTCGTCACAATGCACCAACAAGCCCAAATTTCGACAGTGTTGAACGTCAGACTTTTTCTACCTCGGCGCTCATGCATCCGACGACCCCTCGACGTTCAGTCGCCGCACCCTTCAATTTCTATTCGTCGTCATCTTACGAGCCTTCCACTGACGCCCCTTTGCCGGTCGCCGCTACCCTGACGCCCCTTCGTCCGGTCGCCGCAGTTCTCGCTCCCCGTCGCCGCTACGTCGCCAATCCCGCTTTCCGCCACCTCGGCGCTTTTCCTCGCCGAGCTTCTCTGGACGACCGCAGCAGGAAAACTAGATATTGCAGCTTATAGAGGTGAAGCTGCAATACCAATGACGGCTGAAAATCCTCCACTGACGCTTCCCACGCACCATAGCCTGCTTGAAGTACAAGTCGACCATGTTCCTGTGACCGCCCTCATTGACACAGGTGCACACCTGTCTATTATGAGTGCTTCTTTACGCTGCCGCTTACAAAAGATTATGACGCCATCTACGACGCAGGCAATACGTGTTGCCGATGGTGGTACTGTACCAGTAATCGGAATGTGCACTGCTCGTGTCAGAATTGCCGGTCGTCACGCCGTGGTCCTTTTTGCCGTGCTAGCCTGCTGCCCTCATGACCTCATACTTGGCCTTGATTTCCTTTCGGCACACTCAGCCTTAATTGTCTGGTACCCTCAGCCTTGATCTACCAATCTTTGCCGACTACTCTGCAAAGCCCACCAGCTGCTTGAGCCCAACCACTTTCGTTCGCCTGCCACCTCGAGCCGTTACGTACGTGTCTTTGTTGTCGACCCCTCCCGTTCCTGACGGTGATTATATCGTTACGCCAATTACTGACGTTCGGCTGACGCGCAGTGTTACTGTGCCCTATACCGTCGCGACCATAGCGGATAACTGTGTGTTACTTCCGCTCCTTAACTTTGGTTTTACTCGTCAAGTGTTGCCCTGCCAGATGTCTCTAGCCCAGCTAACTGCCATAACAGAGGACGATGTCAGTGTTGTCGCTGCATCTGCTCTTCATCGAAGCGCAGTCTCACGGTCACCCATATCAGACGATGCTATTTTTCGAAACATGATTGGATCGGAGCTGTCGCCTCACCAGGCCGATGCCCTCTGCCAAGTTTTGGCCTCACACAGTGACATTTTCGACACTGACGATCGTCCCTTGGGCCAGACTAAAATTGTCACTCACCGAATCAACACTGGTGATTCTGCGCCCATTCACCGTCGGCCGTACCGCATGTCAGTGTCTGAGCGAGAAGTGATTCAGAAAGAAGTGGCCAAAATGCTTACGAAAAACGTAATCGAACCATCAACGAGCCCTTGGGCATCTCCCGTGGTATTAGTAAAAAAGAAAGACGGCTCATGACGTTTCTGCATTGATTATCGCCACCTCAACAAAATTACCAAAAAAGACGTGTACCCTCTACCACGCATTGACGATGCCCTTGATTGCCTCCATGGCGCCACCTTCTTTTCATCTCTCGACCTCCGATCTGGCTACTGCAAATCGCTGTAGATGAAATGGATCGAGAAAAGACCGCCTTCGTTACCCCTGACGGTCTTTACCAATTCAAGGTCATGCCATTCGGGCTCTGCAACGCTCCAGCGACCTTCGAGAGAAGGATGGACACGCTCCTACAAGGTAAATGGTCGACATGTTTGTGTTACCTGGACGACGTGATCATTTTCTCACCTACCTTTGCAACCCACTTTGAACGCCTTTCGACCATTCTATCCATATTTCGACGGGCCGGCCTGCAGCTCAATTCCTCCAAGTGCCACTTCGGTCTTTGTCAGATTACCGTATTGGGTCACCTTGTTGACGCTGCCGGCGTACAGCCAGACCCGGCGAAAGTACGTGCTGTAACAAACTTCCCAGTCCCACGCTCTGTCCATGATGTTCGCAGTTTTGTGGGCCTCTGCTCCTACTTTCGCCGGTTCGTGAAAAACTTTGCGGCACTCGCCTGGCCACTCACTGACCTTCTCAAACAAAACGTCCCATTTTCTTGGTGCCCTCCTCAAGCTGACGCCTTTTCTCAGCTAATCACTGCTCTAACGACACCTCCTATTCTTGCACATTTCGACCCCAATGCTCCCAAAGAAGTGCGAACAGACGCGAGTGGTCGCGGAATTGGTGCAGTTTTGGTGCAAATTCAGCAGGGCAACGACCGTGTAATCGCGTACGCAAGCCGTCTGCTTTCTAAGTCTGAACGCAATTATTCTATAACAGAACGGGAATGTGTCGCTCTTGTTTGGGCGGTTTCGAAATTCTGTCCTTACTTGTATGGCCGCCCTTTCCGTGTCATCACAGATCATCACGCGCTGTGTTGGCTTTCTTCTCTGAAGGACCCCACTGGACGACTTGGTCGTTGGGCATTACGTCTACAGGAGTATTCCTACTCGGTTACTTATAAGTCTGGACGCCAATTGCTTATCCCGCTACCCTGTTGATCAGCCCGACGAACCAGACATCGAGCCTAGCCTCAGCGTCATGTCAATGTCCCAGTTTCTTCAGATACGTGATGAACAACGTCGTGATGCTTCTCTGCGACAACTTATTGACTGTCTCGAATCTGCTCCGAACGACACGTCACTTCGCATGTACGTCCTCCTGAATGGCACGCTGTACCGTCGTAGCCTCCAGCCAGATGGCCCTGAGCTCCTTCTTGTCGTGCCGAAAAATTTGCGTTCAACCGTGCTGCACGAGCTTCACGATGAACCAACTGCTGGTCATCTGGGTGTATCTCGGACGTACGACCGCGTGCGTCGCCGCTTCTTTTGGCGCGGTCTCGCCCAGTTCGTTCGCCGTTACGTGTCCTCCTGCGATAAATGCCAACGTAGGAAGCGACCTACTGCGCCCCCGGCTGGACTTCTTCAACCGATCTCCATCCCAACCAAACCTTTCTTCCGTGTTGGTATAGATCTTCTCGGTCCTTTTCCCGAGTCGAAATCGGGCAACAAGTGGGTCGCCGTTGCTATTGACTGCGCGACTAGGTATGCCATCACTCGAGCGCTCCCCACCAGCACCGCTACTGACGTTGCGGACTTTTTGCTCCACGACGTCATCCTACACCATGGCGCTCCTCACCAATTACTCACGGATCGTGGCCGCGCATTTTTGTCCCGTGTGATCGACGATCTTCTGCGCTCTTCCTCGACGCACCACAAGCTGACCACTTCCTACCATCCCCAAACAAATGGCCTTACCGAACAGCTAAATCGGACCCTAACGGACATGCTCGCGATGTATGTGTCCTCCGACCACCATGACTGGGACCTGGCGCTACCTCACGTGACCTTCGCGTACAATTCTTCGCCCCACGACACCACTGGTTATTCACCCTTTTATTTGCTTTATGGCCGTGATCCGACGTTACCACTCGACACCTTACTTCCAACCACTACAACGCTGTCAACCGAATATGCACGCGACGCTATTGCTCGTGCCGACCACGCACGTCAGACCGCCCGCTCTAGACTTTCGGCTTCGCAAGCCACCCAGAAAGCCATCTATGACAGCCGGCATGCTGACGTTCACTTCTCACCCAGTTCTCTTGTTCCCCTGTGGTGCCCAGTTCGTCGAGTTGGCTTATCAGAGAAGTTATTGTCTCGCTACATGGGTCCTTACCGTATCATCCGCTAGGTAACCGACGTCACCTATGAGATCATTCCTGCATCTGAGACCACAAGCCTGCCTGCAACCACACCCAGTGATGTGCACGTCAGCAGGCTAAAACCTTACCACCTGCCTACTGAAGACCGTAGTTAATGTGCACCGAGACAGCGCTTTTACCGCCGGGGGGGTAATGCTACGTAGCTGACGTATCAGCAGTGAGAAGACGACAACAAGGAAGTGGTCTGTTGGTTGTGCGTGCTGCTTCCATCTTAGCCGACGCCATACGCATCAGTTTAAATATAGATTTTAAATAGACACGCCTCGTGTCATTTTCACGTAACAATATGTTTACTGTGTAATTGTCTTAATGTATCAATGAATTGATTGATTCACTGACTGACATACCGTGTGTCTCCACTGTCCCTGTACCTGCCCAGCTGAAAGGAGAGCGCAATGCGGCCGTGCGTCAGAGTGCTTTCCTCATGGGCCAAATGGTGCCGGAGGCAAGGTTGCTGGCAGCTTTGGACCAGGTCAAGGCAGTGGAGCTGCAGGCAGCTGCAGCCAAGGCGGAGCACGAGGCTGAGGTGAGTGCGTGCCACGTTTAACATAAGCTCATAAGTGTGCGGCGTTATAATAGTATCTGGCCGCTTATGTCTATCTATGGGACCTCTTTTTAATATTTGCTTACCACTGGGTGTTGTATAAACGTAAATCCCACTACTAAATTGGCACTTTATAAGCAGGCTGTCCTGTAGTGCACTTCAGTACTCAGCTCTCACACTGCATCGTTATTATTTTTGAAAAGTTTCTGTGCCAGATAAGTTTGTGCAGTATGCCCTGATCATAGGTTAGCTATAAAGGTGAAGCTCACTCAGGCTCACTCAAGAAATATATTTTGCATTTAGGGCTTACTCAGACTCACTGAAGTTTTCTCAACCTGACCCAACTCGAGCTCATGCAGAATAAAATACTACCATACTTTCCTCGACTCTTCTCAGACTCACAACACGATCAGTCTGATGAGTCCGAGTGAGTCAACTCGTGAGTGAGTTTACCGGCCTATGGCGCTGACAGCTTTGTAAAAGGATGTAAAGGTTAGAGAGCTTTTGTGGTGATTTTTATGTCATATACTTATCCAAAATACGCCCTGCTTAAAAGAACAACAGGCCTGCGTGGAAGGCGCAGCACAGTCACAGCGAAAGCTAGGAGAGTGGCCTTTCAGAGCTTTTACTAAACACTCATTGGGTAACTACTCCAAGCACACTTGCCGGGTACCCACTACAGCATTATAATGAAAAAAATATTTGGTAGTATGCCGGCATTCGCTATGCTATTTTTGGTCATTCTTCTGAGAAATGTGGTATCCGCTAAACATTTGCAAGAAATTTGCTGCCAATTGTTCATGCAGTGGCTGACGACGATGACGAATTATGGCTGAAGTGGGTATGTGCCACAGTTAATAGGGGAACAATAACAAGCTTTTGTATTGCATTGAAGCATTGTACGGCCTGCTCGTTACGCTATTCGCATTGTGCAATGATTGGTTGTTCTTTAACTGTTTTTAAATGCTTTATAAGTCGTTTTAAGGCAAACACTTTCCCGACATCAAGCCTGCCTAAGGCAAGTTTGCCAACAAGTCACAAGCACCAGCGTAGCCCAGTGGTTCGAGCCCCACTGTGTCTATGGTGCTAGGTTTGCCAAGAACTCACAAACACCGGCATAGCTCAGTGGTAGAATACTGGGCTGGCACCCAGCAGACCCATGTTTCGAGCCCCACTGTGTCTTTGGTGCTAGGTTTTTTTTCTAATTTCGCGCGATATGGTTACGGACACTGATAACAGCGGCAGCGGCAGCGGACAACTGCCCGTGACTCGAGTCGTTATCTCATAACAGCTTTCGCTGTAAAAAAGAAAGATATTTATTTGTCATTTCTTGCATGTTATGTCTTTTTTTTGGAGCTTGCTCAGCAAGCTTCTCTGGTCGCTGCTAAAAGTCGCCACTCCAGTCGCCTCTTAGGTGATTTCAACAATGTTCTTTAGACGGCGTGCCGCCACCCGAAGCTTCGGTTTTTAATGGTGTTGGGTTCAGCATGTGCGTTATTATCTAGATAGCTCTAGGCATGCGCAGATGCACGTGCCTTATCATGTCAGCTGACATCTGTATATATTATCCATTTTGAACTAAGAATAAACAGAGTTGTTTGAGGTACTGAGCCGGAGCAGTTACTTCGCGGTCCTGCGGATCTCTGTAATAGCTCGACAGGGCATGATGGCGGATACACCATATGGCCCGCACGCTCGCCTCCTCACAATTACGTTCACTTCATTATCGTCGCTTCGAATGGCATGGCAGCACGTAATAAGTTCCTACCACTAGTGCTGCGTACAGGTACCGATATCCTCCCATGTCCCCTCACCTGCCTGCTATCAACCCCGTTGAAGAACGCCTGATAGCTGTATGTCTCCCTTTTTTGAGCATTAGGCATTTGATCCACATCAGCGACCAGTATAGACTAAAGGCGCAGGTGGTTACCGTGCCAATCAACGCAGCCAACACTGGGCAGTGGCAGCCACAGAACATGCCTGACAACGCTGCCTTTGACTTACACATCATGCACCGGCTCATTACCAAGCCTTCCTACAAAAATGGCCTCGCCAAGAAACACCCCACGTACCCCCATGCTCCGTGGGAAGCTCCATGCTTCTTCGGAGCCATGGTGCAGTTCTGCATGGCGCAGATCTGTTGGCATCGGCCAGATGGCAGCTGTTGGTGTCAATGGAAAATATCGCGACAAGTCAGCTCGCAGTTTTCAGTTTATGTCCTGTATTTTCAGTGCATTCTGTACTGTGCTACACTGACTACCTACGCAGCAGCGGTTCAATCATGTTTACTGTGTGCAAGAAGCACTAGCGTTGGCAACGTTAAGGGGGGACGCGGCCCTTGAAAACCGAAAAATCGCGAAAAAGTCGGTTTTTGAAAAACCACATTTTTGGGTTGTATGTCTCATAAACTACCTATTCTGTAATTATCAGCACCTAATTCAACCGCAAAGTGAAAAAAAAAAATACTATTTTCGAGACCGCTGCGGCGTCCAAAACAGGCGCAAATCCCGAAATCAAACCAAACTTGGCGCGCGCGCCATTCCCGGACCATGCGGTCGTCCCGCGCCATCTTGGTGTTGTTTTGACCGTGAATTCTTTCTCTCTCGTTCGCCGCCTTGCAAAATGGCGTCGGCAGCACAGTTGAGACGCTATTGGCGTTTTCCCGCGATGCGATGCGGAGCGCTGATTGGCTAGAACAGCGCATTCATATCTCGCGGGAGAAAGCGTGCCCGCCATTGGCTGCTGTGCAGCAGCGGGGGCGATCGCTCCTCTCGATGGCGCGTCCAGCGCGCTCGCTTCGTTGTTGCTCGCTGCTCCGTCCTCCTCGACAGACGTCTGCTTACGAGCCGCTCTTCGCCTTGTGCTATCTTTTCGATCATTTTCTCTCGTTTTTTTTTTCTTTTTGCACTAGTTCTGTGCCTTTCGTCTTTGTTGTTGTGGGCGATGCCGGCTACGAAGCCGAAGTCAGTGCGGAAGTCCGGTGCGCGGTGGCGCGCTATGCGGCTTGTACGATCATCGAAATTCCACTATTCTGCTGCGGGTGCCGACTGCGTAGACGCTTGCAGCGACGGAACTGTGTTGTCGGGTGTCGCCAGTCGAGAATCCGACACATCGAGTGTGGCTTGAGCCGCAAATGCACCGAGTGTTTCCGAGATTGCCGGGCTCGACACGTGCTCCGAATCGATGCCATCCAGTGTGACACCGAGTGCTTTTGATATCGCCGGACCCAGCACTTCGTCTGAATCGGTGCCATCGAGCGTGACACCGAGTGCTTCTGATATCGCCGGACCCAGCACTTCGTCTGAATCGGTGCCGCCATCGAGCGTGAGTGGACCGTCGCTTCATCTGCGGACGCGTTTCCTAACGAAGGAAGAAATCGATGCGAATGCGATACGTCGTGACGCCGTTCGCGTTGAACTCGAGTCTACGCCGGCGACGCAGAAGAAATTTCAACTGATGCAGCCGGCTCTTGCACCTGCAGTGACAAGTGAGGGCGAACATTTTTCGCTTGTTCAAATGAACATCTTTAACGTCGTGCTCAGCCGCACAGTGTGCAAAGAATGTTTGAAAGGTGCTATGACTGTCCGAGAGAGCACCAAGCTTGGACTTGCAACAAAACTTGAAGTCGTGTGCGCCTCTTGTGGCACCGTCGATAAATTATGGACATCACCCCGCAAAAAGGACACGCAGGCCTTCGATGTAAATGTCCGCGCCATAATGGCTATAAAGCAAATAGGCAAGGGGCAAACAGCTCTTAATGACTTTTCGGCTGCCATGAACGTCTCTTACAGAGGTCTTCACCACAAGACGTTTCAAAAGCACTTGAAAGAGACGTTCAGGAAGCCAGAGGCCACCGCTTTGGAGAAGTTTTATGCTGATTCTGCCACAGCAGTGATCAAAACATATAAAGAAATGGACCCCAGCTTCTGCAAGGACATCACCGTAGTGTACGATGACACATGGCATAAGCGGGGTCACACATCGGAGTGGGATCGGTAATTGACTTCTTTACAGGTCTCATCTTGGATGCTGTAGTTCTTTCAAATCACTGCCTTGGATGCCAAACAGGGCCCAAACCTGGAGATGCAGCATACGAAAGCTGGCAGAAGCACCACATTTGCCAGAAAAACACAGACGCAAAATCGGGAAGCATGGAAGTGGAGGCAGGCTTGACTCTCTTTGGGCGGTCTGTATCCAAGCATGGCCTGCGGTACACCACTCTTGTGTCCGACGGAGACAGCCGTACCTTCGCTGCCCTCACAGAAAACAATGTGTACGGGCTAGTGCCAATTGTAAAAGAAGAATGTCTGAATCATGTTCAGAAAAGGATTGGAAGTGCTCTTCGAAACATTGTGCAGAAAAGTGATAAGCCACTGAGTGGGAAGGGGAAGCTGACTAAAGCCCTCATTGAAAAGCTGACAGGATATTATGGTTGGGTCCTGAGAAACAATTCAACTGACCTAACAGCCATGCAGCGTGCAGTGATGGCAACATATCACCACGTCACATCGACTGTCCAGGACCCTCACCATGAACTTTGCCCAGAGGGGGCTCAACTCAATCGTGGTGCCGCCATAGAGCTGCAGAGGCAAAGCGTGAGCCACAGCCAAAACATAAACACAGCCTGCCGGACTATGTCGCTGCAGCTATGCTGCCCATCTACGAAAGACTGTCACAAAAGTCGCTTCTTCAGCGCTGCCTGGGAGCGAAGACGCAAAATGCATCAGAATCATTCCACTCCATTCTGTGGTCTCTGATGCCGAAGGAACAACACTCATCCTTGATCGCGGTAGAAACAGCACTGCATGAAGCAGTGCTGCGCTACAATGCCGGCTGCTGCAAAGCAACCCAAGTGATATCGGACTCCATTGGACTTCAACCAGGTCATCTGGCCATCCAGCGAGCTCGTGAAAAAGACGCTTTACGCCTAAAAAAGAATTCTGAAAGACACCAGGAGAAGATGGAGGCCAGGCAAAAGAAGAAAAGAGTGCGCCAGGACACTTCTAGCTACTGTGCTGGAGATTTTTGAAGAAAACACGTGTTTTGAACTTTCTCGGCCTCTTTTCTCAGAACGGATTTTTTCGCTAGTTGTGGTGCTGAGGAAAGCAAGAACTCGAAAACCGTTCATCAGATTTGTGTGCCGTCTTTTTTATTCTGTTCCTGAATGACCTTGCAAGGGCGTAAAAGCTCCTTTTTTTGAAAATTTGTGCTGTTAATTTATAATAAACAATTAATTTTTGATGAATCTAGTCATTACTGGTTACATCAAATTCAAAGTTGCGTGAAAATTTTGGGGGGGGGGGGGGAATAAAAAAAAAACGGCTTTGTAGCGCCCTGGGATAGCTATCAAGGAATGACCACAATGAATTTCAGCTTTCTACTATGTCCTGGGATTTCTCACGACTCTTCCTCAGGCACCCATGTGAAGCACCCAGTTGAACCTCAATAACTCTGGAATTAAGAAACACAGCTTCGTGAAACTTAGCAGTTGTGCTAGTTTTATTGTAGTGAACAACCCCTGAAAGTTTCATCCAGATATCTTAAAAAATAAAAAAGTTCGGTCTCCAGGGTAGCCTCCCCCCTTAAGTTAATGGCAGAGTAGACATGTGTGGCCATGTTTTGTATTACTACTCAGCGTGTACAAACCCATCAGTTGACCTATCGATCACTCAGTCCAAACTCTATTCTGTCTAGGTTCGGGCACTGCGTGAGCAGCTGGAATCGCAGAGTGCCCCTGGGGAGACGGTGGAGGAGCTGAAGCAGTGCCTGGGTGAATCTGAGCAGAAGTTTTACGAGTCCCAGAAAAGGGTTCAGCAGCTCGAGGAGAGGGGTGAGCATCGTAACACAGCCGCATGCTTCATGAGCGCAAACATTTGTGAGAATGAAGAATGTTGAAGAAAGAAATGATGCACAAGAAATACAGGTGATCTTATAGTATTGTACAAGGTCATTAGATGCTCTTACAGTTATGAAGAGAAATCAGCATACACCCTAACTTGTATGCCACCATTCTCTTTTGCAAACCATATGTGTCACAGCTTTCTGTGAAGCTCATTTCATTCGGCAAATATTTAAGACCTGCACAGGTTAGTTCATGCTCACTGTGGGACTGGGTGAATGTTCGACCACCTCGAATATTTGGTTGAATATTACAGTATTTGAAATTGCGCGTCTTTCCTGTCAAATGCTTTCTTCCTTCTACCTTGTTCGCTCATATACTTCCACATTACAGTATTTGAGTTTGCTTTGACACGAATACAATATTTTTAAAATTTTGAAAAATTTGAAACGAACAAATAGATAGTTCTTTGCCTCATTTAACCCTCTCTGTAAAGGTGATTTCACTCTAGTGTTGGGCTGCTATGCCATGAAACTATCTATTCAGGGGAAATTAACAATTCGGCATAGTCACAAATCAAGGTTAAGTGTGCATATTACCGAAGTCCTTCAATACATTGACTGGTCATGAAGCTGTGCCATCACTCTATGGAAAAGCTTTGTGCGCTGCAAGCAGAGACCGTGGGGCAGTGCCGCGTCCAGTCTGTTGTCATCGGGCAGATGGTAGCTGCTGGTGTCAGTGCAAAATATCTCGACAAGTCCGCTCACAGTTTTCAGCTTATGTCCTGTATTTTAGCTTGTGTGTTGTCCTGTATTTTAGCTTGTGTGTTCTGCCTGAAGGCCTGAAAGTGCTGATGTTCCGGCTGTCTAGCGACAATGAATGGTGCCAAAGGTGCTGGCATACTCCGGGGAAAAGGTGGTGGTTTCACAATTTGCTCCCCGCATCTATGTGTCTCCAAAGAACACTTCAATGAAAGTCACAGTGTTTGTGGGATCTCGTGGCTAGTTGGAGCTGTTGTGGCGTTTCAGTGTAATGTTCCAAAACTTTTGTGGGGCGCTATGCCGAGAATCGTCTATGACCACCTTGCGTACTTTTCTTGCACAAGAAAAGTTGCTCACTCGCCTACACTGCAAAAATGTAAAATACATCAGAAACTCGACTTTACAAAACCCTATTTTATGAATTTCCCCTATTTAACGAACAAATTTTGATTCTCTCCCACAGTTGACCGTAGAATTTATGCTTTTACAAACTCGAAATTATGGAACAAACTTTGCCACCAAGCCCTCTGACGAGGCATTTCAGGAAGAATGGGCATTGAAAAAGAGGTTTTTCAATATTCATTGTGTCTAGATTGTGTGACAGTGTATCTCGATCGTTGTAAACTCTTGCCGGCATTCTGGCTTCCACATTTATACTTATGAGGCTGTGTTGGGCTTTTTAAGCCTGCAACACAAGCCGGAAGAGGCATAGCTTAGTTATTGGGAAGAACCTCATAAACGTGACGATGCAGCCACGGGTCAGAAATTTGACGACTCCGTGAAAGCACAAGTGTTGAAGATTGGGTGAGTTGGTTCGTTGTAATTAAACTGGTACAAACCAGAGCTCGCCTACCTCACACACAGGCGCTTAGGCTGCCAGCGCATACTCTTCACCAAGATGCCTGAACTGCCAATGCATGTGTCTGTGGCACCAAGTTAACACGGCAAACGATGTATTGGGAACTTAAAAATATGAAAAAGCGCCTATTCACACTACTACCACCTATAAGATGTATTCTGGGCACCACTGCGCCTACTTTGGATGCGAAGAGGCAGATATTGCTCAGCGCTGTCTGTAGGATCACGACGCAGGAATCGTGCCGGTGGGGTGTTTTCCGATTGCACAGATTTCTATCTGCAACGAAAATTGCCGAGCTTTGCCGCCTGTAGATAATAGGATATACACTCAATAATAGGATATATGTACACTCAAATCTCATTATAAGGAAGTTGCAAGGGGAGCCGCAATTATTTTGTTATATCTATTATTTCGTTATATCTATTATAACAGTTTGTGGCAATGTATGCTCAGATGGGCGCACACCTATAAGCATGCAAAGAAGGAAACCGCCTCGCGGCTCAATGTACCTCTATGTGACCACGCGTGCGACGGAAAATAAACAAAGTCGAATCTCATTCATTCGAACACGCCTAATTCAAACTACTGGTTAATTAGAACTCACGCTGTGGTCCCGTGAAAGCTATATGTATTCCAATTGACGAAAACGCCCTGTAATTCGAATGTGTAAGAACTTGTGGCAGCTAATTTTAATACAATTGAGCCCACATATAACGCCCTACTTAAAACGAACTTTCGCTTAGAACGAACAATATCTGCGTGACCGTGAAAATATACATTGGTTCATTGGCACGAAATCGCACTTATAACGAACGTTTCCGAGCGTCGCTGATCGGTTACAGCGAACCGGGTCGGCGCTCTGCCGACTTCCCTGGAAACCACTTTCGACCACCGATCAGGCATTAACGAGGTGCCCATTCATTCTTATTGGTAAACGGCGACCCTGCCTCCGCGCCCCTCTAGTTGCCGCTCTCCCCGACTGCTTTTTGTTACGCACCCCTCCGTCCTTTGTCCCCCCGCTACTTTGAGCACCCCGCATCGCCGAACGAGGCCCGTTGTTTCACGCTGCCACCGATCTTTCGAAGACCGGTCGGCCACCTACCCTGTTTTATAGGTGAAGCTCCTTATAGCGGCACCCGTTCGTCCCTCATAGCTGTTGTAGTAGTGTGTAACAAGTATAACATTTTGACCTCCAAGGTGGTGCCGGTGAGAGATTTCTTCTGTGCGTTGTTGAACAATAAAAGATAGTGCTCAATGTACATGCCAATGGCTGCTAAGGGGGAATGAGAGACAGGAGAATTCGGCTTTTAGTTAACGCACACGCTGCAAATTTTTTATTGTTCAACATTGCACAGAAGACAAGAAAGGGTTGCTACGTTATACTCGCTGGGCGTAACCTCCTAGGTTTTAGAAAGGTTTAGCGAGCGTTAGGCCGCAGTGCCATGAATACAGTGAACTAGTATATACCATGAACTCGAGGTGGTTAAAGGTGGGAAGTAGACACGAAGCGCAAGCCGTAAGAAAGTGTGCGTGCGCCTCCTCTCGTTCAGTCCTTGGAATGTCCGCTGGATGGCGGTGCTTCTATATGAGGAATATATGATGAAAAGATGCGAGATGGTGGTACTTGGAGTGTTGAATAGGTGGACGAACGGACACACAGACAGATGCATGGACAGACGCACGGATGGCTGCACGGACGGATGGACGCATGGACGGATGCAGGAGCGGATGCATGGACGAAAGCAGAGAGGGACGCACAGATGAACGTGCGGATGCACGAACAGACGCACGCACGGGCGGGCGGATGGACGCACGGGCGGCCACACAGGCGCACACATGGATGCACGGAAGCAAGAACGAATGGACAGACGGATGCTTCGCCCCACTATCCATCATTCACTCCGTGGATATGCTGCCATTTTTTTATCACTGGTACTGTCGTTGGTGTCGCCGGCCTGGAGTGACCAGACCATTTGCCAACATCCTCGGCCACCGATTGCATCTGATCGTCTGCGCCTAGTGCACGTGCATACACTAGCCCACTGACTTTGATAATTTGTGATTCGTTTCGTGTTTATGACCTGTTCTCGCTCACTTCGTGCTTAGCTCAGCATGCCCTTCGCACACGTGCAGAAGCATGAAACGGCTGTTCATTTGTGTGAAACGAATCGCGAAATATCGAAGTCGGTGAGGCTATGCAAACCCGAAAGTGCAAAAAAACGATTTTTCGACCACGGCCGCCGATTCTTTCAACGCCGCCATGCGTGCTGATCCAGGCCGCCCTGTTTTGACTTTTGCGCGTGCAGGTACTCTTTCAAGTTTTTCTACGCGCGAGTTTCGCGGACCTTTCAGGCAAACTACCCGACCTGTGTGCTTCCCGCGTGTTTTGGTTTTCAATTTCCCCCTCCCGCCGTATTCTCCCTTCTCTTCACTCTATCGCAGCTCCTTGCCCTTCTCTCGCAAATCTGCTCTCCTCTTTTGATCACAACCCCTTCGCCTGTCTCCACCGCTCCGCAACGGCAGCCACGCTGGCTCGAATCAATTTCGTTTTCCGACAAGAAACGCGCCCGGAGCTGTTCCACGAGTTCTGGTATATGCATCTTGTGTGCGCGTCTTGCTCGCTCTTGGTGTGCGTGTGTGGTCAGGACGGCAGACAGGAGGACTTTTGCGCTTTTTCCTGCTGCTCAACAAAATGTCGAAAATGTGACCGCTTGGCTTGAGCGTAATCTGCGCGTTAGGTGCTGTGTTGCGGAGTGCTTGCTCATCATAGCTATTGACTACCTGGCAGCCAACTTGCCGCTTCGGGCGTTTTGGTATTCACCTCTGGAGATGGTGAATATTTCGTGGGCGGCAGTGACAGCTACATGCACGCGAAACTGTTTTCGCGAGGCCAACTTCGTCTTCGACGTTGGGCCCGATGCCGAGCCTGAAGCTTCTGAACAGAACCACTACAGTGGTGATTTGTGGCAGCGCGCCATAGACTCCAACAATGGAAAGCGGGTAAGACATCTGTTGCGATGGTTTCATTACGGCTGATGATGATGCCGACGCCGCGGAACCGTGCATAGATTAGGGCGTTGTGAATGAAGTACGCGGCACAAGTGATTTGGAGGAATCGGATTGTGAGAACAACGAAACTTTGGAGCCAGTGCCTCATGCAGTTTGTGCCATGGGGCTCGGCGAATGAGCACTCTGCCGCTTGAAATTAACTCGTGACCACCCTTATCGCTTCTGCTCTTCAAAACACGTGCATCACGGAATTTTTCAGGCAAAAAAAAAAATGTGTGTTTTCACTCGAACTTTTTTAAAAGCTGTGTTTCATTTACTATGAACTTCGGGATACAGCGAACAAATGCTGCATCAGGCTCCGGTTTCCTTATAAGCGGGCTCGACTGTATACCGAGCTACTAGGTTGTTCTCAGCACCATGCCCAATCCCGCGGCGGCACCTCTAAACACTGCGTGTGAAGAAGGAAAAGAAGAAAAGGAAAGGAAAAACTGTGGCGGATTGTTTGCTCTGTCTCAGATGCCGTTCTGCGACATGCCGTCTCTGCACATAGAGACCCTTTTCTTTTCAAGGCCGTGCGCTGAAAGAGAGGAAAAAAGAAAGAAGAGAGCTGTAGCAGAGAGTTGGCTCTCTCTCTAATGCCGATCTGCTTCTCTCCGCATGGAGATGCTCCTCCTTTCTCGGTGCAAAGGGTAGCAGCAGAGACGCAGTCGTTGCCATCATCATTAGAGAGCATTGGCGCTGGACTTAGCCACGCGTCTCTATGCTTTGCAAACTGTGTGCGAAATTGATTGACTCGCTGCAAGGCAAACGTGCGCGGACGTCATCACCGATTACTTCAAATAATGACGGATGTCGTTTGATTTGTGAATCAATGTAAGTCTTCTGAAGCTTCCCGATCGTGTGTTCGTAAGTGAGAAGGAAATTGCTTTGCACCGCGGCACTGCTTCTCAATCATGTGACCCGCTGAGCGCTTCCTCAATCTTCTCCGCTGGCTGTGTGAGGAGGACGGCTCTTTTGGCCGCGCGCAGTGTGGCTGTAAGGTGGGTGTGGGAGTTTTGATAGAGCTGCGCCGAGCGAGCATCAAACTCTGCAGAAAATAATATACTTAATGCACAATGGTTGGTTTTTTATGGGCTATTTCATAGACTAATTTTGTTCGTTATGTTCATTTACTGGTCAATTTTACTTTGTTAGGAGGTTTAAAATGCGTGGTTCTCAAAGGAGCTTTCAAGAGGAATTTCATTCATTGTATTCATTATTTCGTTTTATCCTATTACGTTTTATCGGGGTTTGAGTGCATTACTACTCACACATGTATGCACGCACCATGCACGTTTAGTACAATTGTAACGGTCTACTATCGTGATGCAAGGAGACCTGAATGGTGCGGAAAACGTGGCTTTCGACTCAATCAAACTGCGATGCGCCTTAACTGTCGCTAGGCAAATCTGTGCTTTCAGCCGGTGTCACCGCAGCATTATAAAAATTTGCTTTGGCTGGCACTTTTGCACTGCGTGTGTGTTCCGAGTGAGCGTCGTTACTGGCAATTGATAAATATATGCGGTGCGTGAGCTCAATTTGGAGCGAGATTCTAGCGCTACATTGATGCCGGCTTGCAGCCCAAATTCTGCCTTGCCACAGCTAAGGCAGACCGCAGTTCGACAGAGCCGATTTCCACTGTTTGCATTTCTTTCAATTGCGCCAGTACGTACCTGATGAAGTTGCTTCCGCAGTCTGCAATGCACATGCTGTAGCCATTCCGGACTGGTGAAGAAGGTTTCCTTGACGTATCACACAAAATCAGCACAAATTTCCAGGAGAGGAAGAGCGCACAACATGCTTACAGTTGGACTTGGGTTGTAAAGTTTCGCAATTAATTTGTGGAGCATATGCTCACGTGGTAGGGCAGGGTGTTGCTTCGCCGCTGTTGCAACAGATGGCTAACGTGCTTTTCATTATGGCAGCATGCACTGAGCTCGCTGTGTTCTGGTGTATAGGGCATTACAGGAAACAAATGGTCAAGCATTCCAACGAAAAGACAGAGCGCTAACTTCCATTTGGGAAAGTTCGTGAATGAAAATGTACATGCGGACACTGACATAACAGAAGCTCTTGGTGACAAGGCAGAAGCTCTTGGTGACAAGGAGATAGTGCAGCTTGTTTCTGGCACACAAAAGGAGTCTGATGATGCAAACGATCTGGATACTGTCCAAGCGCTTGTGCCTGCACCAAGCCATGTGAGGGATGCCATTGACCTTCACAGGCGAATCGCTGGGGCATATGAGGGTGCCGAAGATGCTTTGATTTCACTGGCCAGCTACGAGAATCGCATGCAACCCCTGCTCACGAGGCGCATACGCGAGTGAAAATCATGAGCTTTTTAAGGAGATAGTCTTTCTTGGGAACCTTCGACGCAAAAATTTTCGTTTGCCTGTCTGGAAATTTTTCTGTTTGTCCACTCTTACCGGCATCGGGTACTTAAAACGGCCGAACCCATTCGCAGGGACCACCAATGTTGCTCAAAGTTGAGCGTTCATGCTTGTACAATTGTCAATCAAAAAACAATTATATTGCGCATGTCTGGGGCACCATAACAACACGCATATATTCTGCATATGCATCTTTCACTAGAAAACGCATAAATAAGTAATTTTAAAGACCGTAGCGCTTATCACGTTGCGCTTACCATGCAATGCTTGCATGGAACGGGGAGCGTTTTCAACAATTTGCTAAGAAGAGATAGTGGTGGCACCTACCAGTCGCCTCGCGTTCTTCACCTTATCACCTCTGAGGCGGGCACACATGGCCATGCGCTTTGTTTTCCAAAAGAAACTGCCAGATAGCGCTCATGTCTCACGTGTGACGTGACTTGATGCGCTCATTCGCCTCCGCTGCACGCTCGAGGCACTCTAACGCAGTGCCTCCGGAATACCATACACCTATTTTCTTGCGCAGAACATCAAATAAATGTTTTTTCACTCTCTTCATACGCAACACTATTGTCTTTCGACGACATTTGCAGATTACATGCAGATACGGAGCCAATTTTTTACTAGTTGGTAAATTTGATGTTTTCTCAATTTTACAAATTTCGCAATTTAACTAAGGAATTCGTAGGGTTCGGTGACTTTGTTAAATCGAGGTTCAACTGCATACACAAGGTATGTGCTGAGCTGAAGATGTGTACTTGATAAAACATTTCTGAAGTTAAAAGTGACAGAACCATGCTTGTTGTACACGACAGTTAAAAATTAATTATAGCCTTACCAAAATCAAACCCTATGGAGACCAGTACTGGCAACCAAATGTTTTATTTAGTTCAAATGTAACGTTTGAACTAAATAAAACCTACTCGTGACAAAGTCCAAAAACAAGTCTAAATGAAAAATTAATGAGTAAACTTTATGCCTTTGATGCAACCTGAAAGAGACGAATCTGAAAATTTTTTTTTGCATGATCTCAAGAGGCTGTAGTATGATTACAGATGTTTGTATAGGATAAGCATTGCTTGTTACACTCGAATCATTTATATACATCAGACTAAATTATAATCCTCTTTTGTATTTTAAATTAAAGTCTGACTGTAATATGCTAGTTGAGTTGAATACATTTTTAAAATATCCTTTTCTCTCGCGTGTATTGTCACAGTGCGAGAGCTCATTGCAGAACTGGAACAGAAGGCCTCTGCACCCACTCTCACCAGCGTGCCGCCACCTCCTCCACCCCCTCCCCCACCACCACCTCCTCCGTTCAACCCGCTCAGGTAAGCACTGGCGCATGATTGATGGTTGTCAAGATTTCCTTGTTTACAGCAATGACCTGTAATGTCATCAAGGAAGTGGCCAAAGGATGGCACTTCTCTGTTCAAGGAGTCTCAGTTTACTATCTATCTGTAGAAGAGAAAGGGTGGACTGAAATGAAACAGACAAGCACTGTAAAACAAGGACATACACAACGGGCACACGGTAGAGGCACTTTGAGTGCCCGTCCTTTGCATGAACCAACTTGCCCACATACACGTTTTGATTGTTTGAGAATCCTCGCATTTCACACACATATTATCGCTTGTGTGAGCTAAATTGTTTCGTTAACCGATCAAAGAATGTAGAAAAAGCTAGTCAGTGGAAAGGCCACCACATACCGTATTTTCATGTTGCAAGTCGACTCAAATGTAGCTTGACACCCCTCAAATCGCAGGGCAAGAAATATATATGTATATATTTACGATATCTTTAAAAAAAACAAAAATAAAACAAAAAACTATTGAATTCCAGTGCACCAAAGTGGCTTCACAGCAGATTCTTAATTCTGTGCAGAGAAGCTAGCTTTGCAGTAATACACGGGAATCATTTTCAGAAAAGCGAAACTAGTTTTTAATTTTAGGTCGACCCCCCAACTTTGGATTTCATATTAGGACAAAATGGGTCAACCTACAATCATGTAAATATGGTATCTGCAAGCTCTTACAATTTTCTTCAGTTGCAATTGCTAGCTTGTGCTATTATATTCATTTAAGAAAAAGTAAAAATAATTCTGTTTACAAAATTATTTAAATATGTTTAAGGATTTCTAAGGATGCTCAAAATTGCAGAAAAGTGCTTGGAAAAAGACGAATGGCGATGCTACCTGTGTTGCATTCATGTGTAAACTGAAAATGCCATATATTTACTTATGTGTTTGTCTGTTTATTTATTTAGTAGAATACGGCCAGTCTGAATGCTAGACTTTGAGCAGGGGTACAATGAACATAACAATAAGCAGGAAGTACAAAAGTAAAATATTGAGTATATATATATATATATATATATATATATATATATATATATATATATATATATATATATAGATGGCACTGACTGTCACTCCTACTTCTAAATTCACATATAAAACCCCAAAAAGTGGATGGAGGGACGGCCGCTGTGATAGCTCAGTGGTTAGAGCATCGAACGCGTTATTCGAAGGTCGTAGGTTCGATTCCTGCTCACAGCTGGTAATTTTTCATCCACTTTTCTTTCTTCTTTCTTCTTATTTACATTCCATTGGTTCTAATAACTTCCCCTGTACATTCCTTGGCATTACTGTCTGTTATATCTCATTAATATTGTGTTAAAACACGGAAATACGAGCCCTTAGGTATACACTTCTCTCCCTTATTTCATTGAACGAGGGTCTCGTACTGGCAGACTTGGTGTGTTTAGGTTGTATAAGCGGGACAATTAATCAGCTGCCCGCTCATAATAAGTTCACGTGCTACGTGACGCCAAACATGCGAATAAGAGTGTGTTCACACTCGTTGTTGGGCTTATAGATGGCGCTGACTGTCACTCCTACTTCTAAATTCACATATAAAACCCCAAAAAGTGGATGGAGGGACGGCCGCTGTGATAGCTATGTGGTTAGAGCATCGAACGCATTATTCGAAGGTCGTAGGTTCGATTCCTGCTCACAGCTGGTAATTTTTCATCCACTTTTCTTTCTTCTTTCTTCTTATTTACATTCCATTGGTTCTAATAACTTCACCTGTACATTCCTTGGCATTACTGTCTGTTATATATAAATATATATATATATATAATATTTATATTATGAAGTCTTGGTTGTCTTGGTTGGGACAGCGTTTAATTGAGGAAAGACCTCGCAAAACGAACGGGCAGAGCCAGTACACAGACGATGATGATGACCCAGAGTGGCAATGAGGACAAAGAGACAAGCTGATGATGGTGACTTTGATCATGCAGGGATGAGGACGATGTAAGTAACAAATGCCCACCCTAATTCCCCCACTTGGAAGCGGACACCTTGGCCGCCGTAAGTCAAAGTGACGAGGAACGTCGCATGAAAGGTTTCATGCGACAAACGTGGACAATCTCTGTGCTGCGGTAGTGGCAGTCTGTTGGGGCGACGGGTGGTGTCACACGATAATTAACTGGCGAAGTCTGTTCTAAAACAATGTATGGCCCGATGAAGCGTGGTTGGAATTTTTCACAGAGACAAGGAGTGCGAATAGGTGTCGAAAGCAGCGCCTCGTCACCAGGTCGGAAAGACACAACGCGGTGGGATTCGTCATAGATGATCTTCCGCTCGTGCTGTCTCGCTTCAGTATTGATGCGAGCCTGATGGCGAGACTGGGCCAGGCGGGAAATGTATTCTTCACTAGAAGACTGACATGAATTCCCATGGCTGCTAAAGAAGGAGACGTCGAGAAAGGTAGTCGGGGTGCGCCCGTACACGAGGTAAAACGGTGAGTAGCAAGTTGTTCGCTGAACTGCGGTGTTGTAAGCGAATGTCAGGAATGGTAAAGGAGTATCCCAGTTTTTGTGGTCGGGTTGGACGTAAACGGCTATCATGTCTGCAAGGGTTCGGTGAAATCTTTCTGTGAGACCATTTGTCTGAGGGTGGTAGCGTGAAGCTGTCTTGTGAGTAGTTCCAGAAGCGCGCAGTACTTCATTTACCATTTGTGACAAGAACACTTTGCCGCGATAACTAAGCAGTACACGAGGAGCCCGATGACGCAGGATTATGGCGTGAAGAATAAAGTCTGCAACTTCCACAGCTGAGCCTGTAGTAACAGAGGAAGCCTAAGCGTAGCGTTTCAGGTGGTCAACGGCGGTCACTATTCATCGTTTGCCAGCAGATGTGACGGGTAGAGGCCCGTAAAGGTCAACACCTACAACCTCGAAAGGCATTGAAGGGCACGGAAGTGGCTGTAGAGGTCCAGCAGGTGCAGACGTGGGGAGTTTACGACACTGGCATGGGTAGCAGGAGCCGAAGTACCGAGCTACACTAGAAGAAAGTAACGACATTGAATGCGGTCAAGAGTTTTTTTTTAAACCAAGATGACCAGCAGTCAAGTCGTCGTGGAAGGCTTCGAGCACCTGAAGTCTAAGAGAGCGTGGCAGTACAGGAACCCAGCGCTGACCGTCAGGGTGGTAGACGTGGCGGTAGACAACCCCTTGTCCAGCTTAAAGTGCAGGAGTTGACGACGGAGTCGCGCGTTCGGTGGATGAGAAACTCCCGAAAGGTGGTCCATCATGCGTCTGCAGTATGAATCGGACCGCTGGCGGGAGATAAATGTTGGCTCGTCGTCCGAAAAGGGTTGCATTATTGATGCGAGCGTATGAACTTTGGTAGATGTGACTGTTGAGTTCTCACCAACGCTCATATGGGTAGTTGGAAGCAGGCAACAAGATAAAGCATCGGCGTCTTGATGTTTTCTGCCTGACTTGTAAGTTATGTCAAAGTCGTACTCCTGCAAGCGTAGTATCCTCCGACTCAAGCGTCCGGACAAGTTCTTCAGTGTAGAAAGCCAGCATAAGGCATGGTGGTCCGTAACGATTGGGAAGTGACGGCCGTGGAGATAGGGACGGAACTTCTGGGCCGACCAAACCACAGCCAAACACTCTTGCTCAGTTATAGTGTAATTCTTTTCAGCAGGGGTGAGTATGCGACTGGCATATGCAACAACTTTCTTTAGGGAAGACTTGTCGCGTTGTAGAAGAACGGCTCCTATACCAAGGCCGCTAGCATCGGTATGAAGGATAGTCGGTGCGGCTTTGTCAAAGTGGCAGAGCAGAGGTTCAGACGTGAGTGCCCGCTTCAACAGCTCGAATGCCGTTTGACATTCTTGAGACCACAGAAAGGGGACGTTTGAAGCGAGTAGTTGGTGTAATGGAGCAGCAATAGAAGTGAAGTTCTGGATAAACCGGCGAAAATAGGAGGCGAGGCCAAGGAAACTGCGAAGCTCCTTTGGTTTTTCGGGACGCGGAAAGTGAAAGACTGCAGAAATCTTGTCAGGGTCGGGCCGGATGCCATCTTTGCTAACAACATGTCCTAAGACCTTGATAGATTTGCTAGCGAAAGAGCATTTCTTAGTGTTTATTTGAAGCTCGGCGCCGGCAAGGCACGTCAGAACTTGATCCAGTCGTTCTAGGTGCTCAGGAAACGTTGACGTAAAGATAATAATGTCGTCCAGGTAGCAAAGCAACTTTTCCATTTCAGGCCGCGCAGCATGGTATCTATCATGCGCTCAAAAGTCGCGAGTGCGTTGCAGAGCCCGAAAGGCATCACGTTGAATTCATATAGCCCGTCGGGAATTGCAAACGCCGTTTTCTCCTTATCGTCTTCATGCATGGGGATCTGCCAGTACCCAGAACGCAAGTCGATGCTTGAAAAAAATTCCGCGCCTTGTAGGGAATCAAGGGCGTCGTCAATGCGTGGCATAGGGTACACGTCCTTGCATGTGATCTTATTGAGTGCCCGGTAGTCCACGCAAAAACGCACAGAGCCATCCTTTTTGCGGACCAACACAATGGGAGACGACCAAGGGCTAGATGAAGGACGGATGACTTCCCGTTTAAGCATGTCCGCAACGTTTTCTTCTATAATTTTTCTTTCTGTTAGAGACACGCGGTAGGGTCGGCGGTGTACGATAGATGTCCCAACAGTTTGAATTCGATGTGCTGTGGTATTAGTGCGGCCCAGCTTAGACGAGCAAAAATCGAAAGAATTTGCATGTTTCTGTAACAATGCGAGCAGCTGCTACCTCTCTGAATATGTCAATTCGCTGCTGATAGTGGTGGTAAAGGCGGAGGAAGAAACATGCTCACCGAGGGAAGGTTCTTTGGATGCGATAGCCTGAAGTGGCGTGACAAATACAGGCTCAAAGTCGGCAACACGGGCCACAGTAGTGCCCTGTGGCAGTAAGATCTTCTCCGGTGTAGAGTTGACAGCGGTGACAAGTGCAGAGCCATTGTAAAAATGAAC